ATACAAGTTGCTACAGTGCTCTCGCTCTTCATCGATTTGTAGCAGGGCAGGTATCAAAACCAAGACTAATGACTGCCGCGAAGAATCTTTTACATTCTAGTAAAATTAAAGCAAAACGACCCGTTAGGTCAAGTCTTTGTATTTCGGTTTTCGTGTTACTTTTGCAGCTATCACTAAATGAAGTTCATAAAAAGTTGTAATAGGCATTTTATTGTAACAAAGATATTGTAAATACATAAATTTATTGTGATTAGTTTCTCATATTGCCGCGCGCCAAGTAGGCAGCGCCGCCGTAGCCTAACGGTTATCGCGCTTGCCTCACTCGCGAAGGGCCAGGGTTCGATTCCTGGCCGCGACTATGCATTTTTGTTAACACTGTAATGTGAAGTTGTGGTCAAATCGAGAACCGTCTAGCTGATTCGAGGTCAGAATTTTCTACGCGTCGAACCTTCTACGTCGAATGCTCCAGAAGCCAACGTGTGTACAAAAGCGGCTCCGCGGGCAAGCCGGAGCCAGTCTCGCCCCAGCGTTCGACTCTGCTGCCAGGCCGACTTCGACGCCTGCGACGCTCTATTATTATCTTTTGTAATCTTTTTTTTTTTTGGCACAAGTTCGCCACATTAAACGTTTCTTTCTTCCTGTTTATTTATTCTTTTTTTGGTCACCACCCGTGACATTTTTGGTGGAGGTGCGCTGTACCGCATGTCCGTGCAGCGCAGCCCTCCGAGTTCCCGCAGTACAAGTCCAAACCCAAGCTCCCGAGGACCCAACGAAGACCAGATCGAGGAATACCTCCGTCGCCCTCCATCACCAGCGCCCACCGCACCTTGAGGTTCCCGTTCTCCATCCCCCCGACGTTCCGCGTCGCCTTTCCGTCGGTCGCGCCGTGACAGCCTGTCCCCCCTATCTCCTCGGGAAAACTAAGTGCGGCAACGCCTGGAGGTGCCGTTGCCGAAGACGACCCGAGTAAAGAGCCACCAAGAACCCCGGAGCGCTCCCACTCTCCCGACGCCACGTATCGCTACGACGCCCCTGCAACGGTGTCCAACAACCTAAACGTCGTCATCGACGGCCACGACGCATCGGCACTCGTGGACACCGGAGCAGACTACTCAGTCTTGAGTGGGAGGCTCTCCCGCCGCCTTCGAAAAGTCATGACGCCGTGGGAGGGACCCCAAATACAAACCGCCGGAGGACATCTCATCACACCAGTCGGGAGATGCACTGCTCGCGTCGAGATCCACGGTGAAATGTGCCCTGTCAAGTTCGTCGTTCTGCAAGACTGTTCGAGGGACGTTATCCTCGGAATGGACTTTCTCTGCGAGTATGGCGCCGTCATCGACCTCGGAACAAACCGGCTGACGCTACGAAAACCTGCTCCACCAGCGGAGGAACCCCAAGCGACGTCACCCACGGTCCGAGTTCTCGCAAACCACGTAAACCTACCGCCGCGGTCGAGTGTTTTCGTACTTGTCGGGATCGATGCAGCTTCCTGTGGCGAAGTTCTTCTCGAGGGAAGCCTCCAATTGCTCCTGGGAAGATGCATAGGCGTCGCAAGGGGAGTAGCTAAACTTCAGGATGGGCGGCCTGTGGCCCTCGTGACGAACTTCCGAAACGAAACGCAACACCTCACGAAAGGTGCAGCCGTGGGCCCCGTCGAGAAACTCCGAAACCCCGCCGAAATCACCGCGATTACTGACGAATCCTCGCCGCCCCAGCAAGACAGTACGTTGCCAGCGCAGCTCGACATTGACTCTAAGCTTCCGGACCCTAAACGGCGTCAGCTGGTTAACCTCCTCGCCAAATACCGCGACTGCTTTGCGACGTCGTCCAAGGTGCGCCAGACCGCGGTTGCCAAGCACCGCATCGGTACCAAGGACGACGCGCGCCCTGTGCATCGATCGCCGTACAGAGTCTCTGCTGAGGAAAGGGAGGTAATCCATCAGCAAGTTCAAGAGATGCTGAATGACGACATTATTCAACCTTCAAGCAGTCCATGGGCCTCTCCAGTCGTGCTGGTTAAGAGAAAGGACGGAACTCTTCGGTTCTGCGTGGACTCCCAGCAGCTCAACACGGTAACGAAGAAAGACGTCTACCCACTCCCCCGCATCGACTACACTCTAGACCGGCTGCGCCACTCTCGATACTTTTCATCGATGGACCTGAAGAGCGGCTACTGGCAAATCGAGGTCGACGAACGGGACCGAGAGAAGACAGCCTTCGTCACGCCGGATGGACTGTACGAGTTCAAGGTCATGCCCTTCCGACTATGCACGGCGCCAACAACATTCCAGCGTGTCATGGACACCGTACTGGCAGGGCTGAAGTGGCAGAGTTGTCTCGTCTACCTTGACGACGTCGTAGTATTTTCAGCTGACTTCGACGAGCACTTGAGACGACTCCGAGCTGTTCTTCAAGCCATTCAAACCGCCGGACTCACACTCAAGCCGTCAAAGTGCCGGTTCGCCCATGACGAACTGAAGTTTCTTGGCCACGTGGTTAGTAACGAAGGCGTCCGCCCAGACCCCGAGAAGACTGGCGCCGTCGCGGCATTTCCAGCGCCGACAGATAAGAGGGTCGTGCGAAGATTCCTTGGACTTTGTGCCTATTATCGACGCTTCGTTCGGGATTTCGCAAGGATTTCCGCACCACTTACGAATCTCACGAAAGACACCGAGAAGTTCGAATGGGCCGAGGAGCAACAGCCGGGATTCGACGAACTGAAACGACGACTCCAGACTCCTCCTGCGCTTGGACATTTCGAGCAGGATGCGAAAACAGAAATTCACACGGACGCAAGTAACATGGGACTGGGTGCAGTACTAGTCCAAGTGCAAGAAGGCATCGAGCGAGTCATCGCCTACGCAAGTCGGACATTGTCCAAGGCGGAGAAAAATTACTCCACGACTGAGAAAGAATGCCTTGCGGTCGTCTGGGCAATAACGAAGTTTCGTCCGTACTTGTACGGGAGCCCGTTACGTGTAGTCACGGACCACCACTCGCTCTGCTGGCTTGCGAACCTGAAGGACCCGTCAGGACGCCTCGCTCGATGGAGTCTTCGACTACAAGAGTTCAACATGACAGTGGTCTATAAGTCAGGCCGCAAGCACAGCGACGCCGACTGTCTGTCCAGAGCCCCCGTCGAAACCCGTTCCGGCTGCAGCGACGACAATGACGACGAGTGCTTCCTAGGAGCAGTGAACCCCGACGATATGGCACGACGTCAACGGGACGATCCTGAGCCGCGCGCATTAATCGAGCACCTGGAAGGGGGCAGGAGTACCGTGCCACGTGTCTTCTCACGAGTACTGCCGACCTTCGCCATCCGACAAGGTGTACTCTACAAAGAGAACTTCGGCAACAACAACACACCGTGGTTGCTGGTAATCCCGAGTGACCTTCGAGAGGAGATCTTCCAAGCCTGCCACGACGACCCGACATCCAGACACCTTGGTTACAGCCGGACACTGGCCCGTATTCGTGAAAAGTATTACTGGCCGAAGCTCCCCAAGACCGTCTACCTATACACACGATCATGCCACGAGTGCCAGCGGTGCAAGAAACCGCCGACGAGGCCGGCCGGACTTCTGCAGCCCATTTCTCCTCCAACTACACCCTTCCAGCAGATCGGAATGGATATACTTGGTCCTTTTCCGCCTTCGATGTCGGGGAACCACTGGATCATCGTCGCCACTGATTATCTCACGCGGTACGCCGAAACTAAAGCTCTTCCTCCAGGGACTGCTGTGGAAGTCGCCAAGTTTTTCATCGAGTCCATCGTCCACCGGCACGGCACTCCCGAAGTTCTGATTACAGATCGCGGATCTTTGTTCATGGCCCAGCTGACGCAAGAGATCCTTCGTCTCAGTGGCACCGGCCATCGTCGAACCACTGCATACCACCCGCAGACCAACGGGCTGACCGAGCAACTCAACAAGACAATCGCCGATATGATCTCTATGTACGTCGACGTAGCGCACAAGACGTGGGACGAGGTGTTGCCCTACGTCACGTTTGCCTACAATACGGCGGTTCAGGAGACCCCTGTATTCACCCCTTTCCAGCTGGTACATGGTCGGAAGGTAACAACCATGCTGGACGGAATGCTGCTGCCCCATGAGCCATCTGTCAATGAGAGCGACGACGCCCAGGCTCTTGCTCAACGTGCCGAAGAAGTCCGCCAGCTCGCCCGACTCATGATGCAAGACCAGCAACGCGTCGACGCGGGCCGCTACAACCTTCGTCGCAGGGACGTTCACTTCCAGCCCGGAGACAGGGTGTGGGTGTGGACGCCCATCCGTCGCCGCGGCCTCAGTGAGAAACTGCTGAAACGGTACTTTGGACCATACAAGGTACTTCGTCGCCTCGGCGAGCTGAACTACGAGGTGATGTCCGACGGAACAAGAACATCATCACGCCGTCCACCACGACCTGAAGTCGTCCACGTCGTGCGCCTGTGATAGGACTGTGGATCTTATGTGTTTCAAGGGACTCTTTAGTTTGCCGTTCTTTTTATGTGCTTTGTTTTGTTTTGGGATGCATCGGGGCGATGCACTTTTTAAGGGGGGAGTATTGCCGCGCGCCAAGTAGGCAGCGCGGCCGTAGCCTAACGGTTATCGCGCTTGCCTCCCTCGCGAAGGGCCAGGGTTCGATTCCTGGCCGCGACTATGCAATTTTGTTAACACTGTAATGTGATGTTCTGGTGAAATCGAGAACCGTCTAGCTGATTCGAGGTCAGAATGTTCTACGCGTCGAACCTTCTACGTCGAATGCTCCAGATGCCAACGTGTGTACAAAAGCGGCTCCGCGGGCATGCCGGAGCCAGTCTCGCCCTAGCGTTCGACTCTGCTGCCACGCCGACTTAGACGCCCGCGACGCTCTATTATTATCTTTTGTAATCTTTTATTTTTGGCACAAGTTCGCCACATTAAACATTTATTTCTTCCTGTTTATTTATTGTTTTTTTAGTCACCACCCGTGACAATATAACACTCAATGCGAAAGGCAAAAAGAAACGCTTTTATTTATACTTCTTCAGAGGCGTGGATATTTGAGACCGCAATTTTCCACCTTGTAACTGTTTAAGAAACCTCGCTGTCAATATTTGTGCAGTTTCCGAACCAGCACCGCTGAAAAAGAGGGAACATTTTTTATATCATGTTTCTCAAACTCGTCGTGGGGAAACACCGAGAAATGTTAGCCAGCCGTCAATTTATGCTTTGTACGCGATTCTAAGCACCACGCAGAAGTTTTAAAGTAGGATCTCTCAATCACTCGTACTGGTCTGGTTTCGGTTTTCGGAGCGTAATATACGTTAAAAATAAGCATTAAGCAAAAATCTGACAAGGTTAGCAAAAAGATATGTCTGAATACATATAGTTGTAGTACATTTGTGTATACATGTGCGAACAACTTAAGACAAAACAAACACACGCGTATTCGCACTATATACTGACATAGGAAAAGCGCCTCATGCATCAGTATCAAGTTTACGTAGGTTTGAGCTGTTTGCAATTTGTGACGAGCTCTACTTATTTGTTTCCCGCCTGGTTACAATGGGTGTGCGTGCCGAATGGAATTGGTTGCTTTGAACGAGTCATCAGATAGCACAGTTTCAATTAATTTGAGCTTCACGTCAAAGAGTGGTTGGTAATTAACATCAGACTAAGAATGCTTGAAATGGGAAAGTGGCGCTTCATAAATGTGCTTTCTTTTTTATCTTCTACGGTGTTCGAAAGACTGCTCTTGCTGGCGATCCTCTCGGTTCAATGTGAAATTGGAGATATACAGAACTGGGCAGTGTCGCGGTACACAGGTATCCCGATAGAATCTTAGAGAACCTTTTGAGTGTCTGTATCTTTCTTTCAAGCTACATGTGCAATATGAATTTGTATCTCAGTCCTAAAAAAAGAAAGAAAAATCGATGTACCACTTGCATTGCAAAACTGTGACAGGCTTAGTTATCTCGTTACATTCGATGCCGAGTTTTAACTGTCCGATTTTTACCACAAATTAAAAAAAGAAAAACATATTTTTGGTGAACTCGCCCTATCCCCTTTACAAAAAAAAGGCCTAAATTCTATTTTAAAAACTGGTTCGGAGGAAAGTAGATTTTAAAAATTGCACAATAAGCTTTGCTCACGAACTCCTTCACTCTTTCCACAATAGCAAAGGGAACTCCAGAGAAGAGGAGAGTGGGGAAAAGGAAACCTCTAAGCATCAAGAGTAGGGTAGCTTATCTTCCTCTGATGGTGCAACAAAGAGAAGTTCAGCATTCTGCGCCCAATCTATCCACCCTAGGTGACTCAGGTCGAAAAGTTAAAAAGCACCATCACAGCTAAACCGGGTTTATTTACGAAAAATGTATTACGTAAAGCATGGTAGTTGGCATCTAGTCCCAATAGGTGTCGTTGGGGGCGACATTATATTTTCTCACCATTAAAGATGGCAGACTGTATTAATGCAGCAATCACTGCCTTTTTGAAAACCAAATCAGAAAGCCTAAAAGAACAGGCTGTGTATACAACTGGAGACTCATTGGTGCCGGACATTACTTTGTGGGGGCCCGCTCTGCCGCCGCCTGATTGCTACCAGACGCTGGCGGCCGAGGGCGGCTCAAGGGCGAGCCGTCGGCACCCTCGGTAGCCGATCGAGGCTGATAGTGGCCGGCTGGTGGCGGCGGCGGACGTCCTCGGGCCCCCTTCAAAGGAGCCCGACCCCCAAGGGCCTGGACGGCGTGGATGGGGAGCCGGGAGAACACCCACGTCGGGAGGAAGGCACCCGTCGGCCTGGCGCCGGGAAAAGGGGGTGCGAGGGAAGGACCGGCGGGGGGCTCGAGGGGTCAGTGGGAGGACGCGGGAGTGGTGCGACGGACGTGAAGGTGGACGGACGTTTGGATACCGTGAGGTGCGACCGCCGGAGAACTCAACAATGTGAGTGATTAAATGTTTATATGGAAAGTGGTGTTGTGTCACTCGGGGGTGTGGAAGCTGGACGGGGATAACCCCATACACTGGCGCCCAACGTGGGGCCCGATTAATTGTCCTTCTCCGGTTCCTCTTCCCGGGTGTCACCACTCTACTTGTGTTTAATTTTGGAGCGGGGACCAATTTGCCAAGGGTTCTGATTAGGCAGAGAGCTTTGACTTAAGTCGAGATGCCGAAGTCCAGGCGCGAGGGAAACGGAAGTTCAAACGGCGCGAACCAGCCGAGCAGACGGGAACCCACAGCCGCCTTTCCCCCTGAGGCTAACCCCGCAGGGGCGACTGCGTCGCTGGTTGAGAGTCCGACCATCGCGCAACCGCAGGCGCCTTCGGGTGCGGCTGAGCTCATGGAGCAAATGACAGCTATGTTCGCTACACTTACGCGGCAGTTAGCTGCGGCGCAGAGCCCGACTGCTCCCGCGCCGGTGACTCTTCCGCGTCCGCGGCTTACGATGGAGCTGCCCACGTATTCGGGTTACGCGGATGAGAGTTCTGTTCATGACTTCCTGTTGCGCCTGGGCACCTACCAAACGGCCGTTTGCGCGTCGGATGACACCGTCATCCGGCAGATCCTGCCAATCGCCCTTGTCGGGGATGCCGCCCGTTGGTGGAGGCTTCAGGAGCCTCCCTCATCGATGGCCGCGTTCCATGAGCGCTTCCGAAGCGAGTTTCTGCCGCCGGACTATGAGAGGCGCGTCCGCGAGGAATTAAACACGCGCACGCAGCATCCTGACGAGAGCCTTTTGGAGTACGTGCGCGCACTTCAGGAACTTTATTCGAGAGCAGACCCCGCGGCGAGTCACGCGGACCAAGTTTCGCGCGTAATCCGCCAGTGCCACCCATCCTTCAAGCCGTACCTTCGTGGGCGCAGCTTCGACACCCTGGAGGCTCTGGCTCGAGAGGCGCGCGTCGTTCAGGCGGACTTGCTTGCTGAGCTCCGCTACGCGCCGCCGCCTGGGCCGGAGGAATCGCTTGAGCCTAGCTGCGCCTGGGCGGGGTCCCAAAGCCCGACCCCCCGCGTCGAGGCAGCGTCGGTGTCCTCGGTTGTTAGGCGCGAGGCGCGAGAAGTCGTTTCAGCTCGCGCGCTAGACCCCTTCTCGTACGAGCAGAGACGCCGCGCCGGCCGCGAGAATCGGCCTTCGAGTTCGGTCGGGGCCAGCGCGGCCGGGGCGCGTGGTGTCGCGAGGCGGGGAGATAACGCGCCCCGTTTCGGTCGAGATGAAAGGGACGGGCGTCGCCAGAGTCCGGGCCGCCGACCCCTGCGTTGTTTCCGGTGTGACCAGCCTGGCCACATCATACGTAACTGTCCGCAGCTCGAGCGCGACGGTCAGCACCAGGGAAACGCCCGGGGCCAGCGGCGCTAACCGGATCATCCAGGTTCCCGCCGCTGGCCAGCGGCGAAAGGGAGGGGCGACGCGGTACCGTGGGGAAGCCCCACGAAGACGTGTCGCCGACATGTCCCACTGATGTCGCGGACGCGTTTGCCCCACTGGCATGTAGAGCCCAGACGGGACTCTCTGCCTCTGGACCTTACATGACGATTAACATTGCTGGGAGGGAGTTCTCAGCATTGATAGATACCGGAGCTACCCTTTGTCTGATCGGTGACGACGTGTACGAAGCATGCCGCGAGAGGAGGAGGAGTTTAAGACCGGTCGACATCTGCATGCGTTTGGCAACGGGCATGACGAGGGCTGAGGGGGCTCTGCGCCTTCAGGTCGAGTTTGACGGTCGACGTAAGAGGCAACGTTTTGTGTACCTTCGGGGTCTCACATCTCCGGTCATACTGGGGCGAGATTTCCTTTCTCGGGAAAGCATCATCGTTGACCTGCGGAACAATGGGTACCGTTACGACCCGTCTACTCCGCTGATACCTTTCGCCGACCCACCGCCCTGTGTTCCTTGCGCTCCACGTACGACGGCTCTCGCTGGGTGTCCCAAGCTCCAGCCAGAGGCGCTCGTCACGCAGGTTGGAGCGGCGGAATTGGAGGCCGTGCTCGCGTCTTTCGACGGCCCGACCGAGCAGAGGCATGCACTCGCGGACGTTTTGCGCCCCTTTTCGGCGACATTCACCGAACGGCCGGGCATGACTAACGTCCTTCAGCACCGGATCGACACCGGCGAAGCTAAGCCCTGGGGTTGCAATCCCCGGCCGCTTAGCGTTCACAAAAGAAACCTCCTAGACGCCGCCCTCGACGAGATGATTGACACGGGCGCAGTCAGGAGATCGAAAAGTCCTTGGGCTTTCCCGGTAGTTCTAGCTCCAAAGAAGGACGGGACAGCCAGGCTTTGCGTTGACTACCGCCAACTCAATTCTCTGACAACGAGGGATGCGTATCCTTTTCCGTCGATCGAATCCATCATGTATTCCTTGGGGAACGCCCGAGTGTTTACAACACTAGACTGCAGCAGGGGGTTTTTGCAGATTCAGATCGCTCCTGCCGATGTCGAGAAGACTGCTTTCACTTGCCATCGCGGGTTATTTGAGTTTACTCGCCTTCCCTTCGGACTGTCTAACTCGCCGGCAAGTTTCCAGCGACTTATGGACATCGTTTTGGGAGACGCCAGGTTTAATTTCGCAATGGCCCACATGGATGATGTTGTGGTCTTCTCCAAGTCATTCAGCGAACATCTCATTCACCTGACGATCATCCTCGGGCGAATGAGGGATGCGGGGTTGACGATTAACCCGAAGAAGGTACAGCTCGCTTCTCCGAAAATCGATCTCCTTGGGTTTGTGGTCGACGAGGGAACCTTGAAACCGAACGAGGAGAAGTTAAGGGCCATCCTTGATTTCCCTCGGCCGCAGGAGGTGAAAAGCCTCCAAAGGTTTCTAGGAATGATTGGGTTTTATCGCCATTTTATTCCCAACTGTGCCGAGCTAGCCCGCCCGCTTAACCAGCTGCTGCGCAAAGGCTCGAAGTACGTCTGGCAACGAGAACAAGAGGTGTCATTCATCTCTCTCACTCGCGCGATCGCGGCGACTGCCAGTTTGCGACTGCCGGACTTAAACTTGCCGTTTGTGGTGCAAACAGACGCCAGCGATTACGGCGTGGGAGCGGTCTTGTTGCAAGAGCACGACGGCCAATTAAGGCCCGTCGCCTTTGCGAGCCGCACACTCACGCCAGCGGAACGCAACTACAGCACCACCGAGCGAGAGGGAGTGGCAATTATGTATGCCCTGCATAAGTTCGATCTCTACCTGGATGGCGCTCTCTTTACCATCCAAACTGATCACAACGCTCTCGCCTGGATTCAGAGGCTGAAGCAACCAGCCGGCAGACTGGCCCGCTGGGTGCTCACTCTGCAGCGCTACGCCTACAAGATAGAGTATCGCAGAGGCACTGCGAACCAGGTCGCGGACGCATTGTCGCGCGCACCCGTGGAGACTGACCCGGGGGAACTGCCCCGGGCAACCCTCCACCCACGACAGCAAGCTTGCGGGAATGCAGAGGAAAGGGGCGAGAAGGAGAGAGCGCCCGGTCACGCGCCGGAAGCTGGTTCCAGGGGAGCCATCCACGCGGAGAGAAAGACTCGCGGCAATGCGAGCGGTGGCGGAAAAGGTGATACCCCGCCTTGTGCGGCTGTGTGTGATGCCACCAATGAACAGATGAACGCTTGGGGTACTGTTGTGAGCAGGGAAGAGTTGTTGGAAGCCCAGAAAACAGATGGTTTCTGTCAGCGAGTGTCGGAAAAGCTAGCGGATAACGCAGCAGACGCTGGAAACGCAGGCACGGGACAGCGGGTGTCAGAAACGCTGGAGGGCAACGCAGCGGACACCGGAAACGCGGGCGCGAGGATCGATAGAGAGATCGATACCTATCTGTTGGGTGAAAACAACTTGTTGCTCAGGTACATCCCCGAGATGGACGAACACGAGGGAGACCCATCCCCCTTCAAAATCGTCGTTCCGCGGAAGCTGCGGCGGAAACTGATGAGGTATTTTCATGACTCGGCCCTGGCAGGCCACGGGAGCGGCAAAAAGACTTACGAAAAGTTGTGTCGTGTCGTGACCTGGCCGGGAATGAGGAGGGAGGTACTTCGATATGCCCGCAGCTGTCCAGCGTGCCAAGTGGCGAAGCCCAGGGGAGGGAAGCCCCCCGGCCTGATGCAACCTGTCATCAGCAAGCGCCCTTGGGAGACGGTCGCGTGTGACATCATCGGACCACTGCCCCGAAGTCCACGCGGAAACCAGTATCTACTCGTCGTCACGGACCATTTCTCGAAGTGGGTCGAGCTTTTCCCACTCAGAAAGCTAGTGTCTGCAAGAATCTGGGAAAGACTGTTGGATACGTTTTGTCGCTACGGTTTCCCTGCTTCTCTGATCTCAGATAACGCGTCGGTGTTCACAAGTAAGGTCTTTGTGGACTCGTGCCGGTCACTCAATATCCAGCACAAACGAACAACGCCTTACCACCCACAGGCGAACATCACCGAGCGGGTGAACCGGAACCTGAAGGCGATGCTGGTGACACTCACCGGTAAGCATAAGGATTGGGACGCGAACATATCCGAGCTCGGTTTTGCAACCCGAACGACGGTAAATCGATCGACTGGACTGACACCCGCGTACCTTAACTTGGGAAAGGAGCTGACGTATCCCTTGGAAAATGGATTCCGAGAGTGTGGGCAGGCTGACCCCCGCCCCATCTCTCGCTACGCATCGGAACTCCGTGGCCGACTCGGGGACGCCCTCCGCACGGCCAGGGAGAACCTCGACGCTGCCCGGCTGGAGCAGGCCGCCCAGTACGACAAAACGCACCGCCACCTGGTTTACGCCGTTGGGGATCTGGTCCTTATGCGAACACACCCTCTCAGCAACGCGGCGCAAGGGTTTGCGGCGTCGCTGGCACACAGGTGGGAAGGGCCGTACCGGGTCGCGGCACGACTGTCACGTTTGACCTACCGACTTGCTCGCCTGGACACGGGCGAAGTGTCCGGCTCGGTGCACGTGGGCGACTTAAAGACCTACTGCCTCCGCGATCCTGACGATACTGACGGGGAGGCAGGCGGGACAAGCAACGCTGAGGAAAATCCCCGGAGATACAATCTCAGGGCCAAAAGGCACTAGTGTATCTCATCCATTAACCACCTCTTTTTCCCACACAGAATGTCTGCCAACGGCGGTGCACGGGGCCGACCCCACCGCGGCGAACGCCGAACTCAGCCCTGGACGACGGAGCGGGCTTACTACCCCCGCTCGAGGTCCAGGTCTGGTCGCGGGTCCCGGAACCGGGGGGGCGACAATGGGACGCCCGAGGACTTCAGGCGCGTCCGGTCGGGCAGGGGAGGGCGCTCGAGCTCCCACTCCACGCAACCGCCTCCGGCTGGGCCTAAACCCCTGGAGCAGGCCAAGAAGACGCGGTCGGCTGCTACATGGACGGTGGTCTCCGGGAGGGAGGCAGTCGGTTACGCGTCCCACGCAAGGTGGAGGGACCAGTACCGCCCCTCCCGCGGGGTCAACCCGTCCGAGGTGAGGCCACCTTTCCGGGGATTGACCATGGCGGACTGGGACGACGAGCCACCGGCCGTCTACACGGCAGAGGAGGAGGCGGCCCTCTGTCCGGTCTGCCACGTCTTGGTGGTGTGCCAGGAGGCCCACGCCGGGGGCAAGCTCCACACGGAGAGGGACCAACGGAAGAAAGACGCAGCGGCTGCGGCTGCTGCCACCGAGGAGGACATCGAGGCGGCCCTCAAGCTGCTGCGGAGGGAGCGGCCGGGGCTCCTGACTCCGGCCCCAGATTTGGTCCCCCCTGCCACGCCGATCCCGCGGGCCCTGGAGCTTCCGCCGCTGAGGCAGTCCGAGCCGGTCCGGCCTGCCGAGTTCATCGGCCCCTCCCCGACGGACTCATCTGCCACCGGGCCCGGAGGGCCTATCACTCGGACCCTGCCGTCGCCGTCCTTGATGGACGTTGACCTGGACTCTTTCTTGGCGGCGTCGGGGTCTGAGGAGTGAGGGGGGGGTGGTGTGGGGGCCCGCTCTGCCGCCGCCTGATTGCTACCAGACGCTGGCGGCCGAGGGCGGCTCAAGGGCGAGCCGTCGGCACCCTCGGTAGCCGATCGAGGCTGATAGTGGCCGGCTGGTGGCGGCGGCGGACGTCCTCGGGCCCCCTTCAAAGGAGCCCGACCCCCAAGGGCCTGGACGGCGTGGATGGGGAGCCGGGAGAACACCCACGTCGGGAGGAAGGCACCCGTCGGCCTGGCGCCGGGAAAAGGGGGTGCGAGGGAAGGACCGGCGGGGGGCTCGAGGGGTCGGTGGGAGGACGCGGGAGTGGTGCGACGGACGTGAAGGTGGACGGACGTTTGGATACCGTTAGGTGCGACCGCCGGAGAACTCAACAATGTGAGTGATTAAATGTTTATATGGAAAGTGGTGTTGTGTCACTCGGGGGTGGGGAAGCTGGACGGGGATAACCCCATAACTTGCACCTCTAAAGAGTCGAGCTAACTGAAAATATATATCACACTAATTGTCTACGTAGTGTTCGCTAGGAGATGATATACTGGTAAGCCGTTCTTGAAGCACACATCGAGTCGCTGTCAGTTGAAAGGTCGCAGGGTGTGGACCATTGTGGCCTGGATTCTGAGAGCGTAATCGGCTCTTCGACGTTCTTATAAACTGATGCCGAGATCTTATGGGCTACCGAGCAATGGTAAGATGTTCAGTACCCGGCACTTAATGCGTTTCTTAAATTGTTGGTGCTCTAGCTCCCCTAACTGACATGTTACCTTCTTTGCACTCATCAGAAACACCCATGCTCCCCAAGCTGCTTAAAAACTACGAGAAGAAAAGTATTTTGGGATGTCCTACCTCTCCATTATTTCCGCATGGGTAGCCAAATGGAGCGAAGTGGGTCTTTTCTTCTATTTGGTAGTAACCGTTTCTGGTGGGCACATTATTACGGCACGTTATGACGCAGTTCTTCATACTCTGAAAATATTTGTAGCAAGAACGGTAGTTAACTTCAAGTATATGTTGTGGGACAAATGTTTGATTACGTTTTCAATATTATTTTGACCTCAAATTGTGTAGAACATATGTGCACATAACCACAGATGCTACAGCAAATGTCTAAGGGTCTCCGAAAGCGATGGCGTTTTCAATTGAGATCGATGGTCAGCGAATAAGGAGGTGTTGACATATGTTATGCCTATGGGCCTCTAAGATTCCTTACTGGGTTAAAACAGTAAACTTTAGTCGTACTTGTATTATTTTTTATGGAAGATAATGTGTCGTGCAGTAGGTTCTATTTTTGATACATGTTTAGCGATTTCACGTCCGTTTATGTCTAGGTTTCATTTCCAACGGTCTAGTCCCTATATATGCAATACCTAAGAGGCATTTGAGGTAATGTGAATAAACAAATTTTAAACAAGTGTTTGTTCTTTCTTACAAAGACCAAAAATCGATATTGTACTTCTCCAACCATAAAGAACGTCGCTCTATGCGAGCCTGCGCTCTATGCGGGCCTTCATGACACAGCAGAGACATAATCGGCATTACTTGAAAGCTAACTTTTCTTATTGGAAACGTGTTTATTCGGGTACGACTCAAAAGTCCCCTCCCCCCCCCCCCCCCAAAAAAAAAAACAGAAAAAAAACGCCCGTACGCGGCAAAAAAAACCAAAGAAGTGTGCACGCTTCTAAAAAGCGTGAATTTTGCTGCGCGCGCCTGCGTTTTCAGTGAGGGCATCAAGCATACAAACAGCACGCCTTTCCTCCTCACCTCCCCACTATCCTCCCCTCCTCTTCCTTGTTTTCGGAAGATTGGCGATTGCCAACAACATTGGGGTCTTGACGACAGCCAGCAGAGCGTGTGACTTCGGATCCACGTGATGAGCACCCTTCAAGCCTCTCTCCAAGAACCCAAGTCATGAATAGCATTTCTCCCAGCCGAAAAAAACAAAAAAACAAAAAACAACGTTCGCAAGCAAGCAACGTTCGCAAGCGGGCCGGAACTGAAGGAAACCATTTATTTCTAGCGACAGCAAATGCTGTGGCTGCACAAAACGTGTCCTGTTTGGACAGACCTTCAGCATGCTGCGCGCATTGCCGAGAGGTAGGGGAGCGAATTTCAGGTGAGGAAAGGTATACAAAGGGGAAGAGGAGTGATGCTCACGGCCGATGAGTATTGCTCTGGGTTAATGCGTCGACAGAACGTCTCCGGTGTGATCAAACGGCCCGCAACATCCTTGGTGACGGTAAAAAAGTCATAGTCGGATTGTGTTTTCCAGCATTTCTCTCCACGTAGCCTGCGAATGAACAAGAATCGATCGTTATATGTTTTAAAATAATATATCAAAATCTGTGTGTGTCCAATGGGAGAAATGCGGATGTTTTTTATAATAATGCAATTAATCCAAAGGTGCAAGGGAGCTTCACTAGAATGATTAAAATATTCCATGGAGAAGAGGAACATCGGGGACAAAGGAAAAAAACACCACTCTTCAAACACAGCTAAGTGACTGGTGTACGACAGAAAAGGTCCGCCTGGTCCTGATATCGAATCAGGAAACTCTCTATTTCCAGTGGAGCTCTCTGCCAACTGAGCTAACCAGGGTTTAGGCGTCAGTAGAGCAAACGGGTTTATCAACTGCCGCCGGTCGAACAACACCAACAACCCTAGTGAAAAACAACATATAAGAACTGTGAAAATAATTATATAAGATATATAAGAACATATAGACCCCTTTCGGAGTAGAGCGCCACCTGTTGCACGCAACTGCAACTAGGTCCGCCGCCATCACGCAGGGCTCCCGCCAGAACAGCCTGCATCTTACCGCCTACAACTGTGTTGCTTACACTTTGAGTCCCAGTCTGCGCGCCGCATCAATATGCCATCGCACTGCTGCGTACCTTTGTGTACGCAGGATGGATACGTTGACGGAGACGGAAAAAAGGTTCGTGTCAGACAAGTTCTAAAGCGTTTAAAAGGAAAAACCGAGTCCTCGTGTTGTTTAAAAACTTTCGCGGGCTAGACAAGAAATCGATCTTATCATCCGTAAGCGGAAGCATCGCAAGTGATTATATGTTGTAGTAGTGTGGTTGTGTGTCGCGCCCCGTCTTTAACTAGAGAGGTACGGCCGAGGTTCAGTGCGCGGCTCGCATGCGCGAGCGACTCCCTCCTTCAGTGCTTCTCCATTGCAACCGAGGCCATTTTAGGTACTTGTTCGGTGTGTAGATGCAGGATTACTTCTTCCGCAAGTTAGTATCCTTTACTCACGCCGGTAAAGAGTTTTCCAGAAAACTGACGTCGGGTGGAGGGGGTGTACAGACTAAATGCAGTGTTAACCGAATCTGAAGATCACTCGAACCCGCCTTGCGATCGTGGGAACTATGGGAGTGGTGGCCTGAACAGGGTGCCAAGGCCGTACCGCTAGACGTTTAGGGACGTTACGCTACTAATCAGTTTGTAAATTTGTGATAATGCAGCCAAAGAGTTTATAGCATGTTCAACAATTGTTATTCTGTTCAACGGTTTTTATTCCTGAACACATTGTATGTTGTTCTTGGGTCGTCTTCTTGCTTCGGTAGCAGGAACCCTTGATGAAGGAACTTCCTGCACTGAATGAAATAAAAAAAAAAAAAAAAAAAAAAAAAACCGGTTTTACACTTCAAACAGCTGTGCGTATTTTCTGTGCAAATAAAAATCAGTTCCAGCACACTTTTTTTTTTTTTTTTTTTTTTTGCAATGTCGCATTTTGAGTGGGTTTGAACAAACGTGGTACGTTTACAAACTCCGTGAAATAAACCCAATACATCAGTGGTTCTGGAAAGTCTACTCTGTAGCTTTGTGAGGAATGCCACTAACCGCGTAATTTCGTAGTCTTCAAAAGGTTACCAAGGAAGGATTTTAAAATGGCCTGCCTGCCACCCACACCTACAAACTTTTCTGCTGTTCTGTACGATTTGCAATTGCGATTTCTCAAACACTCAAGGTTGTGACTCGTGAGGCATCTTTTGCAGTTACTGGTACGCGGACGTAAGTTTATTGGAGGGGTACGAAAAACGAAACGAGCGAGTTCTCGGCTGTCGCCGAACGACAAGCTCACGACGGGGGCAGCGTACCGGGTCGTTCGGAGTGGCCACGCTAAAAGCGCGATCACCATGATTAACTGTATTAAAATTATGGAATGTTACTAAAAAAATCAGTACAAAACAAGAAAGAACTTGCCTGGACCGTGAGTAGTTAGCCTTTATCGATGCGGGGGCCACGTATGCTTCGACGAAGAAGTTGTAGCTTCTTTCCATGCACCGGTCTGTGCCTGACCGGCTCCTGTGAAACTGCTACACCTCTCTGTCACTTATATGTAGCAGTTTCGATAGATCATTAGTCCAACACGTGATCGGGAAAACACCCGCAAAAGCCATAGCTCGAAACGCTACGGCGGCTAGGTTGCGCGCCGACCGGTCAAACGAGTCGAACCCTGCGTAATGGCGGCGATCACCCAATGTTGCTAGATGTTTTACTATTCCGGCTAAATTTTTTTTAGTGTTGCCAAAATTCCGAAATGGGTCTATAGGAAACGTTTCACAAGTTTCTTATATTTTTTATGTGGTTCTTATATATCTTGAATGATTCATATCTGTTTATTGGACGCAGAAAATTCTCATACAAATTAGATTTTTCAATACGGAAGGGTAAATGGCCAGCATATTAATGTAATTATAATAACGAAATTAATGCAAAGGTGCAAGCGAGCTGGAAAAGAATGGTGAAAATAATCGCTGTAAAAAAAGAGCAAGCTCAGGCAGCACCGAGTTCTGGGCCAAAACTTGGCTTGCGTCTGTAGCCAAAGTAGAGCCAAACCTGAGCTCCCTTGGCAACAGTCTGGGTATTTTGGCCCTAATTCGCCAAACATTTGCCAAACTTAGGCTTCACTGCCTAGTAGTTCGGCTGTCATCTGGAATCTTTGGGCCTAAATCGCCTAACAAATGCCAGATTTAGGGTTAGTTCCCTGTAGTTCGGCAGATCTTCGGCATTTTCGAACCAAAATCGCCACACTAATGCCAAAGTTAGGCTTTACTTTTGATAGTTCGGCTGTCATCTGGCCCATTCGGGCCAAAATTGCCACAGATGTGCCAGACTTAGGCTTACTACATTGTAGTTAGGTTGACATCTGGCATCTTTGGGCCCAAGTCGCCAAACAAGTGCCAAAGTTAGGCTTCGCTTCCCGATGCGATAGTCCGGCTGTCATCTGGCAGCTACGGGCCAGATTTGCCAAACAAGTGCCAGAACTTGGCTTATTGGCTTAGAGTTCGGCTGATGAGGGATTTGATGTACGCGGGTGGTCTTCATCTTAACTAAATATAAATCAAGTTTTATTCGGCTGGCAACTTTATCTTATTTTGGGTGTCTCTTGATTTCCTCAGTCCAAAGGTTGGCTGAGTGTTTTGACGCGGCTGGACCAAACTTTGCATACGAAAATTGTGCCGGATCTTGTACTCGCGCGTAAGCACACGCCAATATCGGCACGCGCCGTTAGACTTTTTCGGCATTAAGGCGCGTTCACTCCGGCGATGCGATCTAGTCGCGCAATAACTTCATCGCAAAAGCGACCATCGCGGGCAAAAAGCGACGGGATTTGAGCTGTCGCTTGCTGACCCGACTTTTTGCGATGCGCTCTTGTCGGGGGCAGGCCGAGGCAATCAACGGCGTTCGGAGCGAGAGTTCTTGAGAGGCGACTCGCCAACGAAGGCGTTGGACTCGCTCATCGCGCACGTCCGATTGATCATCTATTTTTTTTTGCGATGCGATTTAGTCGGATCGCGCGACTGCTTACATCCCCGGAGTGAATCCGCCTTTACAGGAAGTGCTGCCATTGAGCGTCTCCACGTCTCCACAAGAAATACCATTATTAGGCGGCGCATTGCAAAAGCGAACGTGGCTCTGTGCGTGTCTTGCATTGTGATTGAGCACTGTCAAATCCTAGCGATAACAAAGAGCAGAAACGACCGGGGCTCCGTGGCGCGGCTCCCGCATCACACTTGGGGAATGAGAATGAAATCCCGGAACTTGAACTATTTTAGCGTGTCGGCACCTTTTAAATATTTAGAAAGTGGAGACACAAAAGGGACGATACCGACAGGATTATCATCTTTAACAACATTTATATTCGGCTTCAAGCTCAAAGCCCGCCCGCTCCGTGGGAGTACCGGAAAGGGAAATCTTGGGGGAAGGGGAGGAAGCAGAGGAAGTGTACGCGATCCTCCTGTCCTGCGGGGCCAGGTATATCGGGCAAACGGGGCGATGCCTCAACGACCGACTCCGAGAACATCAAATGGACGCCGAAAGAGCTGCTTCGGATTCTAAGTACCCGATCATCATTCACGGGAGAAAATTTCCCGGCTGCGCTCCTAATTTCACCGGCGCAACAGCCATGGGAATCCAGTGGGAGCGAGACGGGAGAGCAACAATTGAGGCCTATTGAATGGCGACAAGCTCGCAAAACAAAGCACCCCTTCCATTTCGCTCTCAAGAAAGGAGATTATCTTTCTGAGTCCCACAATGGAAGCCGATCGCTGACAGACTAGGCAAGGCGACAAGGTCACCGGGAAAAGCGGCCTTTCCTTTTATGCGTTGTTGATGCCCCTTCGACCTCGCCTTTTGCAAATCCTCCCCAACTACTTTTGTGTCTTCGTGTGGCTTTCAGCGAGCGCGACAGCCGCTTTAGGCAAATCAAAAGGGTGGCGCCAAATGCGTAACCAGGCATGACCTCTCTACGTAGGGCGCGTACGACAAAAACGTTTGGACGAAAATTTGTCACATGATTTTCTCTGTCACGCTGATGGGATCTCTGGGGCTGTTGTTTTCGCCGTTTGCCTAGTTATAGAAATAGGCGGGCCACGTAGGTCCGGTTTTCGAACTGCGCTCTTCAGTGTTCTGTTGCTTTCGTGCGTTGCAGACCCGGCCGTGTTTTTTCGTCGTAAACGGTCGGAATACGTCTATGCCAATTTTTCGGTAACAGCCATTTTATTTCACCGAAGTTCGTGGAATTCTTGTGATTAGTTTGTTGGAAACGCTTCGACAAAACTGCTCATCGCCGACGACGAGACGTCAGTTGAATGTGCGCAACCTTCTTTCTCGAATGCGTTTGTGGGGTGCCTGAGTTGGATTATGCATCTATCAAGGATTACCTGATATCGCTCTTTTATTAGTAAGTACACTGAAAGCATTCTTCTTTTAGTAGTCTTGTTTTCTTCTCAATCTCCGCGGTTTTTTGTGTGATGAGTTTTGCTTGACATGAGGACAGTGTTAATTTTATTTTATAATTTGCTTTTCGTTTTACAGAAAAGTGTGGCCTTTGTAAATATGTCGCAAAAGCACTGTGTGTGATGATAATGGTTTAATAAACATCTGGGAGCGAAAAAAAAAATTGTTTATCCGTATATGTGATTGGATATGCAACAAATGATATGCAGCCTACACATACACGCACGACGTTCGGCCAATACGGACCAGACGCATCGTAGGGTATTCGCACAATATTGCACGGACGCTAGGCCGGGGCGAAACAGCTGTACGGCAATACCTGCCGGATATCAAACGGTGGTGCAAAACTGGACATTTGAGCGATAATGGACCGACTTTCGGCCGGCACTGGCACGATACTGCAAAGTATTGCCGTGCTGCTTGGGAACGGAGGTGATGACATCTTACCATCGTGTTTCCAACGCTTATTTAATTTAATTATCTTCTGGGACACGTGAAAGAGCACTTCTGTGACACACCAGAGATATTCGAAACTTGGGCAGGCCTCTCGGTTTTTTTTGACACTTTTGGCACTTATTTGGCACTTCAGTAGGTAACCAGAGAAGAGCCAAACTTCGGCATGCCCCGAATCGCCAAATTAAGATTTACTGCAATAGTTATGGCTCAAGTATGGCACTTACTTTGGCAGAACTGTGGCGCACCAAAGAAAAGCCAAACTCGGCATGTTCGAAATACCCAAATTAGGCGTTGCTTTGGCAATTAAGGCTCAAGTTTCTCACTTTGCCCCAAGTGCATCAGACCAGAGAAAAGCCAAACTCGGCGAGGCTGAAATACCGATATTAGACTTTGCTTTGGTAGTTATAGCTCAAGAATGGCACACTTCGGTACTCCTCTGGGGTACCAGAGAAAAGCCAAACTTTGCCGTGTCTGAAGTACCCAAATTATCCGTTGCTCTGGCAGTTATGGCAGAATTATGGCACCAACTTTGGCGCTCCTCTGGCGAACCAGAAAAACGCCAAACCTTGGCATGCCCCAAATTCCCAGGTTAGGATTTACTTTGGCAGTTTTGGCTCAAGTATGGCGCCAACTTCGGCGTTCCTCTGGCGGACCACGGCAACGCCAAACTTTGGCATGACCGAAATACCGAAATTGGGCGTTGCTCTGGTAGTTATGGCTCAAGTATGGCACTACTTTGGCACTCCTGTGGTGGAGCAGAGCAAAGCCAAACTTTGGCACATCCCAAATACCGAAATTAGGCGTTGCTCTGGCAGTAATGGCTGAAGTATGGCCCCAACTTTGGCGCTCCTCTGGCGGACCAGAGAAATGCCAAACCTTGGCTTGACCCGAATTCCCAGATTAGGATTTGCTATGGCAGGTATGGCTCAAGTATGGCACCAACTTTGGCACTACTCTGACGTACCAGAGAAGAGCCAAACTTTGGCATGCCTTAGGATCGCCCAACTAAGGCTATATTTAGGCACCGTACGTTGGCACTGATGAGTGTCATGGGGCAGAAACCTAACTGCGCCAAAGTTGGGCCCTTATGTTTGCCAGACCTTTGCTCAAGTTGGGCATTCCTCTGGCGTGCTACCTGAGAGAGGACAAAGGACAAAAACAAATCTCAACACAGCTAGGAGGAATTAACTGTGTTTGGAGATATGTGCTTGTCCTTTGTTCCCCCTTGTTCGTCTTCTCCAGGGAATATTTTCATAACGGATGTTTTCCTGATTCATGAGATTAGAATAATAATACAACATTAAAATTTTTAATGAACACACCTGAAGAAAGGAGAAAAGTATCCTTCCACTAGCGTAAGGCAGCCGATATACTAATGCCTCTTTAATTGGTGTAATTATCCAAAATGCGTGGCTACGAAAATTCTAAGGGCCGTGTCACACTGAGGCAACACGACGGCAACAGCAACACAACACGTTGTCCAACATTCGTGCAACTTGTTGCTCCCTTCCCATGCTGTCCGAAAACCCTGTCACATCGCGGCAACACTAGCACAACATGGATGACAACGAAAAAGTTACCTTGGTATGACAGCTTTCCTAAACAAAAACAGAAGCAACTTGTGTTTGACAACGTGTGCTGCTCTGATGACTGGCTGTGCGAATTTCGGGCCGACAACAAGACAACACAGATAGCTTTAAGGGCAGAGCTAGTTTTTTATCAACGTCCTTTTCTTACGAGCTTACTGAAATAAAGGCTTGGAAAACGTTATCCAACAATAATTAAGGCTGTCGTGCAGCTAAAATAGTTTTATGAATGTTTTTACTGCATAATTATGGCAACTGCTTGTCGAAATGGTCACAGCGGCGGTCGTGAACGTTCAGACTGGTGTTGAAATTGGAACTACCGATAGAACACCTAACATTACTGCTAGTGAAATAAAATGGCAGCTTATACTCGCCTGCTGATAACGTATAATTAATTTAACGAAAAAAACAAAGGTTAAAAATAAAAGCATTAAAACGACCGCTATGATAGTGAGTTCGTTTACACTAAGCAACCGACGGACGTACACTAGACTCTAAAAAGAGAGATTATTTGTCAAGTTTAATGGTTATTTGTCACGTTTAAAGTCGATATAATGGCCATAATTTGTTTATTTCGAGATTAACAGCACAACCACAATACTATGTATTGTCGTTGTGAACTTGCAGCCTCGTTGCTTCTCCAATGAGAGGTTAGCTGCAAGTTTCTTTCAACTATTGCTGACAACTTAAGGAACATAGTGCGCCTATTATGTTAACGCTTGCCGTCATTCGTTTCGTGGATTCAGCTACCCTTTAAGTGAACTACGATTTAAGTAACTACGATTGGAAGTAACATCCCCGTATACTGGCAAACGATACATTCACAATTAGGGTGAAATAATAGCATAGGAATTATCACGGGTCAAAAGAAGAATAAAAGTTCGACGATACCAGTGCCTAAGAAAGTTCAAGCAAATACTTACTTCAAAACAAATTGCATCTGCACCTCACTGCAATTCGAAAACGCGAAAGGCGGTCCACGAGGCCATTGAGGTTTCATAATGTATTTCTCTGGTAACTTACAGTCAAGAGCACCAGGATGATTCGGGATATATTCCAAGGGACCACTTCCATCGTGATTGCTCCCGAGCCTGCGAAAGTATTGTACATGTTAAAAAAACCATCTAATGCTCAACACTATAATCAGGGACAGATTACGAAATGCAAAGCAAGTCTTATTACGGTCACGCTTCTTATCGGCGCTTATCGCATTGTCCGTAGCGACGATAAAAGGCATGGGATTCAGTAAGGGTGACTAAAAAGCTCTTCCCGGGTGATACGCTGAGCACATGAGTTTATAATGGTAGTGACAAGATACTTACAAATGCCCGATTTCGTGGGCTATAGTGGTGAAACTATAGTAAATAGCAGGTTGTTCCTCAATTATTGCTACATTGATGCCTTTCACGCACACCATTGCTGCAAATGCGAGACCTGGAAATAATAATTCATCTGTTGCTTACTAAATACATTCAATACCGTTTTTTTCAAGCTGTAAGAATACGCTGTGATATGAAAATCCCCTTCTTTGGAAACGCAGCTATTTAGAATTATGAGACGGCAGCTTTAAATTTTAAAAATGAGCCGAGGCGTGACCGCTTGTGCGAAATTCTCAAATGCCTAGGAAACAAGTCGTATCTAGAAGTCGTGCGATGTGATTACAGGGAAAATTTGTTTTCAGAAAGATACAAGCAAAGCAAACATGCAAACAAACATCTACATTTATTTTTTTAGCGCAAAGCTAAATTACGAATAACTAAACGCTCAGTCTTCGGCCAAATGTAGCGCTCGGTGCTCGAACCTGATGCTAAAGTTTTAGAACTTTAGCATCAGGTTATTCTGAAAGATTATGAACAGTTTTAGGAAATTCACAATAGGACGAGAGCAGTCGACGAAGTCCAGCAACACACGAAAATGAGTGACGTCGGCTACCGAAAACAGGACTCCTCTTGCACGTGCAAAATTTAAAAAAAATTGCTTCTAACTTTTGAATCGGCAAACAGTGACTTTTAAAACTTTCGCATCAGGTTGTACCGTTAGAGGGCAATAAGTGTTGCGCAACGCGTAGGCTGTCTTGTCATGAAAATCAGAATTTTTTTGCGAACACACGTACACATGCGGCCTTAAAGTTTTACGTAGAATGAAAATGTACAGTCATAATTTGTAGTTGATTTTCCCGTTCGGTATTTTACAAAACTCACCACGAATATAAGGGAAATTTCCAAGAGATATTTGTTGAATGTGATTTTTATGTCCATCATCTGACGAAAACCCTTCTTGTCAAATTTTATTTGTGAATTAAGTAGCCAAAACTTGCTTTAAAAACATTTTGAACTTGACTTTCTGCAACTGCTTCATATCAAGCGATGTTCATTTTATGCAGCAAAGGCCATCTTCTGTAAAAACGGCTACCAACTTCCAAATCCCACTCAGTAATTCGTGTTACTAACTAGCAGAAACGGCGTATATCATTCGTTATTTGTTAGACGTCTCTCAGAAATAACTGGTTAAACTCCGATTTTCTCAAGATTCAGCATAAAGGTGTGGTCCGCAGCATCGTCTGACCCCGCTCTCTTACCGTCAACATCATTAGATAATTTCTTAGTCTCCTCGTCAGGCATCACTAAGCCGCGCCTGAAATGCAAATATGAAAATACTAATTATGCGTATTCCTGCTGATATGAACATTAATCACGTGAAAAAATAAATTTACATATAGCTTGTGCTTTTTAGGCTTTACATATCTTTTTTTTAGAAAAGCCGTGAAGGCTACACTTTTGCAGTCTCGGCAGGTGAGTTACACAGCGATGGGGACGTAACAGAGCAGCTGCCACGATAAGTAAGATTATTAATTAAAACTTGTCAATGAACGTTCAGGTTTGTAAGAAAAAACATATCATTCTAATCAAGAAGCACTAAGTTAGTCGATTTTAGAAAATTTTGGAACATTTAGGAAGGGTTATGGCGCGCTGACGTTACCACCCGTAAAATCGATGCAAGGTTCTCGGATGAGAATATAATCTTCTGCGTTTACCCGTCACCAGCCCTGCCAATCTAAAAAACAAGATTTTGAACGTAACATTTTCCCGCGGCCCTTACCACGCCTTTCTCTAGGCCATCGCTTTGAACCAAACGTAGAGAAAGAGAAAAGGATTGTGCATCAAGAAAAGCATAAGCTTTTTTTGTATTTAGAACATTAAGATACCGCAAGAAATATTAAATATCTGCTAAACACATTTACTATACATATACAATCAACAAAATTGAAGACACTTAACCTTTGCAAGAGAAATATTGTTTCCAGGAAATTGTTTCTTAATGTCTGCTGACAGAAAATTTTAAAACCAAAACTGCGATGATTGCGACAGCCTAATACTGACAATATGAGATCACTAGGGTTCGCATAAATAAAGGACTTTGATATTATCGGAAATAATACATGAATAACTTGTAGCATGCAGCGCATATTAGCCGAAATTATGCACCTCTACCCCTCGTTTTGAGGGGCAACAAAACTTTTTTACACGTCTCTTGTCACCTTGCCGCAAAGTCCATTCAAGCGGCGCATAAAAAAGAGAGCATGTTACAATTTTGGATTGATATGCTATTCACACAAGCTTGCTGGCACGAGTCCGACAGAAGTACGAGGGTAGCAAAAGTGGCGATGCAGGCGAGTTTGTTCATCACTAGGTACGGTAAATACAGCGCAGAGAAGACCGGTGGCTTCGCTGCGTTTCCATAGGAGCTAAGCCTTTTTCTTTCTTTACTTTTTCCTCAGGTAGGTTCGCTATTTGCAAATTTTACAAACAGAAATGCACCATCTGTGGGCAGCGCTGCACAAAATTGTAGCGCAATAGGTTAAGAAACCAAATTTTGCGGTCGATTTAAAGAGCCTAGCCTCTCCTTGAATCCCCCTGTAGTAATACCCTTCTGGCCTCCTGCAAGGTTTTGCCACTTGCCTGCCTGAATCCGTAATAGAAGATCATGTGGCCACTTCTTGCGGCCACGAGTAGAAGGAGCAACTGTGCTCGTTTCCGTACAAAAAAAAAAATTATACGACTGCTTTTGTATTGAAGTAAAAGCTAATCTGTGTTTTGGTGAGTTATGGAAGTCAAATATTTGATCTAAGCAGTGCGTAATTTATTGTAAGCCCGAAAATTGCGACCGCCTTAATCTATCACATATCCTTCGGGAGCATTGAATCGCCCTAAGGAACTAGGATATGCTATCTCTGCCTCAACCGCACAACTAGACCTCAGGAATTACGTGATCTTGCTTACCCAACGAGCATCAGGTAGAAATCAGCAGGCCTTTTGAACGTGGTGTTTATGGTGAATTTTCCAAAGGCTTTTAGTGAGTCATACGCTGAGACTAAATTATCTTCTTCCACAATGAAATACTCATCTTCTTTCGTCTGTAAACATAAAGAGTTAGACGAAAATATTCATATTATATTACTTTCTCAATCATAAATTAGACCGCCATTGAAAAGGGCGCTTGGTTATCATCAAAAAGTAGTACTTTCTAGATGCAATGATGTTTCAAGGTCCAATGCTTATAAAAATGTGCAATGCTTGACATTGAGTCTACTACGTACAATAAGCTAAATGAAACATACAGGCCTTTGCGAAAACGAATTAGAATGGAGCTAGTTTTGTTTTGACAGCGCCATCTGTCACGACGAAAATTAAAATTGTGCAAAATTGAAATAGAAAATGGAAGGTTACTTCGAAATAAAACCGACGGCTTCGACTGCGCGAACAGAAGCGATTTCGTAACTTTCATTTAGACCGATAAATCCCCAATTGCTCTTGATTGACACAATCACTTTGAGACATATGTCTTCGTTTTCTTATTTATATAGAAGGTGTTATCTAATCGCGACATAAAAATACTGCAAGGTGATGGCGAAAATAAGTTGTTTCTTTGTTACCCTCACCGAACCATTGGAACCCTTCTTCGCAACACAGACCGACCCTCCTTTCTTACCATGTTCGGGGCACCAACATACCTTCAGATATCAGATATGTGTGCAGGCACGCACTAGCACCGCCCCCCCCCCCCCCTCGCCTCCCTCCTTTCAGGTTTGTTCGAAACCATTTCTCCGTATTCGATTAGAGGGATACCATCTGTTTGCGACAAACGTATCTTGCTTTTATATCTCACACATCACACACTGGTACAACGAATCGACTGCAACTTTTTTCACACACCTATTTGTCCGGCTAAAGCTCTCAGCAATGCCTATACTTCAAAAGAAGCTTTAGCATAGTTCAAAAATTTAAAAAAAAAGCAAAATGACGCCACTGTGAAAACGTACTTCAATATTCCGGCCTCGCGCACGTACGGCACCCCGGTTTCCAATTGAAGCAAGACGACACTTGTTTGGGCCTCGTCTCTCTCGAATAAATCTTTGAACACGAAGGGGTTCGGGTGCGATCTTCCACACATGGATTGAATTTTTCGATGCTATTCTTCCATATGGTGGATGGTTCTGGATCCCCTATTTTCGTGATGGTTCCAGCGTTACAGTTTATTTATTTATTTATTTATTTATTCATTCCCTCAGGGCCCGAAGGCATTATAGAGGAGAGTGGACACACACATCTAATTGCACACAAAGACAAACAGTAATTAGGCGGGTAAGCATAAAAATCCCAAAACAGAACATTTTTAAAACAAAACACTGTCTACCAAAATCCAAAAAATATTCGCAAAGTGCAGCTTTGAGTCCGGCATTCTCGGCTACGCTGGCAACAGGTGCGGGAAGGCGATTCCAGTCCAGTGATGTCATGGGTATGAAAGACTGATGAAAGCTTGAGGTGCGACACTGAGGGATGCCAACTTTATTTTGATGGTCGAAACGTGATGAGACGCATGATGGTTGTTTCAACAGATGCTGACGAATATTTGCATTGTGGTGGTAAATTTTAAGAAATAAACATAGACGAGATATTTTTCTACGTAGGGAGAGGTCAGACAAGTTTAGGGTAGTTTGCATTGCTGTTACGCTAGATGTGCGATGATAGTTATGCAGTATGAAACGAACAGAACGGTTTTGAGCAGCTTCTAATGATAATGCAAGCGTTATACCGGGGTCCCAGATAGCGGAAGAATACTCAAGTTTGCTGCGGACCAATGATTTGTAAAGAAGTAGTTTTAAGGACAGTGGGGCAAGAGAGAAGTTCCTTTTTAGAAAGCCCAACATGCGGTTAGCGTTTTTAATTATATACTCAATATGAATGTTCCATGAGAGGTTGTTAGTGATATGAACACCAAGATATTTAAATGAGGACACGGATTCCAGCTCAACAGTTCTTATATGGTACGAGGGACAGGCGTTATTTTGACGTGATACTCTCATGGATTTGCACTTGTTGATATTGAGTTCCATTTGCCAATTATCACACCAACGAGAAATACTGTCAAGGGCAGACTGGAGTGCAAGAACGTCAAAATCGTTAGTTACTTCAGAATAGATGACACAATCGCCTGCGAAGAGACCAACTGAGGATGAGATATGCGAAGGAAGGACATTGATATATATTAAAAACAAAAGAGGGCCAAGTACTGAACCCTGGGGGACGCCAGAAGTCACAGGAGAGGGGTGCGAGTTAATGCCATTAACATGAACAAATTGAGAACGGTTAGTTAAAAAGGCGTTGATCCAAGTCAAAACATGAGAGTCAATGTTCAGTTTACTGAGTTTATACAAAAGGAGCCTATGTGAAACCTTGTCAAATGCCTTAGAGAGATCTAAAAAAATGCAGTCAACCTGAGATGAACGATCGAGGCAAGCGTGAAGGTTATGCGTAAGTGTTAATAGCTGAGTTTCGCATGAGAACAGTTTTCTAAAGCCATGTTGAGCAGGAGAAAAGAATGTATGGGAATTAAGTTGGAAAATGCCCTCATCCAAGTCGCGTGAATGTAATCAAGTAATGCAATTAACTCCGGAATACCGAGCAATATACGCTCCGACGCAGAAACGCCCAGGGGCGAGGGATGTCAGAAGGCGAAACAAAGGAAAATGCCACGAGCTTAGGAATGAGCCACCTTAGCTGGCCGTTTCTTGAATATGCGCTTTTGACCCCAGCCCCCTGAACGGAAGCCCAAACGTTTTGCGCAGAAATGAAAGTGGAACCCGCGATGAGCACCTTGGGGAAACACGACACGCAGACCACAAAAAAGCGCCTGCTTAAAATTCGTCATGAAACGTTCAGGGGTCCATGAAGTAATCCCAGCAGATGTAAAAGTAATTATCGCCCTTCAAACACACGGCCATAAATTTGTAGCTAGCCGACCCGACAACAAAAAGCAAACTGCTGCGCTAGGCATTCCGTCAGTTACAACATGCAGGGTTAAAAGTTTTTCACCCATGTAAGGTACAACAAAAAAAGTCTCGTCCGCAAAAAAATAATTTGAACTGACGACAGCCGTTGCATGCCATCTCGTGTTGCGAAGGCCACTATTCAAGACGAGGGTCTCTGCGGTCGTCGACGATGAAGTAGGGCTTCTCTCTATTTGTCTTTTTGTGGGCGCAGTTGTCTTGCGGAGTGTAGGCTGAAGAAGGAACCGGTGGCTGCGATGAGCGCCTTTCTCGATACATCGAATCCTTCAGGCTGGCAATCGTGGGCCTATCTGCTGCTTCTTCATCTGGCACCTAAAATAAATTTAGTGTTTTCGTTTAGCAAACTTTGCATGATACTTAGTAGGCGTTATAGATATAATAATTTGGTAGAAAACTGCAGAGCAGGTTTGGAGAAGTTCCTCGTTAAACAACCTTGGCAGGGGCGTGTTCGGTTGGGTGCTGCTGACGTTTTCAGCGCCAAGCGCAGCTGGTCCCTCACAAGCCTCGGCTCGTCTGCTGCATGGTTATTTGTCGCCTATAAGTAAAAGGGGCGTAAATGTGCAATGGCATGTTAACGGCCCTTAAGCATATACCTAGTGGCGCTAATAAGAGTAAGTAAGAAACGAATCAAATAACAGTGGTTTCTATCATGCATAAACAGACCGTTAAAGACAAATCGGATAGAGCAACTTACGGGATCTGCTTTTCACGTTGTCTTCTTCAGTCGAAATCGAAGCCGCGCATCCTGATGAATTGTAACGGCAACTAGACGAAACCATTCCGTATGGTTTCTTTTTCTGTTTGTGACATATCTAACCTTCAAGATAAAGGCGATTTTCTTCTCCTTGTTTCATTTCTACAAACCCGGACATTGCCCCTTACTGATGTCTCACTGTTGATTGGGTCGTGTTCTATTTCGGAGTGCAAGGTTATTTTTTTTTTAGTGTGAGGGGGACATAGAGTTTCGTGTTTTGACACAAAGACTGTTCGGCGTTTTATGACTCAGCGCCAGTGTTGGGGTAACGCGTTACAAGTAACGACGTTACCGGTAACGCGTTACTTATTTTTGGTAACGCGTAACGTACTTGTTACTTTTTTTAAAACAGTAACGGGTAATTGTATTTACGTTACGCAGTTCGAGTAACGGGTGACGGCCCTTGCAAAAAATTGTTCTGCTTTTCTGTTGAAAAGCTGTTGAAAAAAGTCAATAGAGAATATAGAATGTCAACAACTTTTCTGTTTGCTTTCTTTTGAATATTGGCCCACTTTTCTAATGAAAGCCCACTTTTCTAATGCACTGAATACCTGAATCACTGACCCATTGACCGCCCCAGAGCCTTACGCCTTATAGTACGGCGGAAGGCCCGATGCCTTCCGTCGTGCTTTGACTTCACGCGCGCGCTCGAGGTGCGCGAACCCCGAAGCGTTGTCAAGGGTAGTAGGCTCGCGCTGGACACGGGACAACTGAAGCTGCTTCCCGTTCTCACCTTGCCAGAGACTATTGAAAAACTTAGCAACTTTTCACATCCAGTCGAGGTGTACAATGTTCAATGAGAAGTCAACAGAAAGTCTGTACCTTTTCTAATGACACTGGCTACAGAGAGTCAACAGAAAATTTTCAACGCGAAGTAAACAGAACGCCTGCAGTCATTTTGATGAAACTGTCAACAGAAAGTCAGCAGAAAAAAAAGCAAAATAAAGTTAATAGGAAGTCAACCGCTTTTCTTTTGACTCAGGCTGAAGAAACTCATCAGAAAAGTTTCAACACAAAGTCAACAAACTTTCTGTTGACCATGTCAGCAGAAAGTCAAAGTCAAAAGGAAGTAATCAGTGTCAACAAGAAGTCAACACGTTTTCAATAAAAAGTCAAAAATCATTTTTATAGGGGGATTTACGTCGCTGGTTACTTTTACTTCATAGAACTTAAAACAAAATTATACAAATTGTTTTCCGTGCTTCTAGGCGCCAAGCTAAGTGATCTTTTGTTTTCTTTGCGTTTTTCTTTGCATTTTTTGTGAGTGTTTGGGTCAAGCCATAAGAAAACAAAGTAATTATGTTAAGTGGCTGCATAGACATGATGTTTCTGGAAATATGGAGATTAAGTATACGTTTAACGTGAAAACATCAAACCTATCAATTCATAACTAAAAAAGTAACGCAAAAATAATGTGCGTTACTTTATATCGGTAGCTGTAACGCGTTCCTTTTATTTTCAAGCAATTGAATTTAATTGGCTTTATGTAGGCACTAGGCCTACAGTAACAGGACAAAAGGCAGATTAGCTCTGCCTGACTTGAGCCTATCACCCGTTTACAATGGTCAGCAGGCGAAAACAAAAACAATTATCATTAAAGATAACAAGGAGATACAATAGCCCATCAGCAACAATCAACACAGCATGTTTTGTACAGGGCTTATACTATCGTTAGTGCACTTGATACTTTGGAAATAAATGAGACAGGTAATACAACTCATACACAATGAAAATATAATCTAAAAGTATGTACTCGACATGATATGAGAGAAGGTACCATTGCAGACTAATTTTAAAGCTGTGTTTTGTTCCACCATCTGAGATTATTTTCCTAACGGATGGATGTTTATTTAAGAAATCAGGTATGAAGTATGATAATTGGTGATGTCCATAATTCGTCCTAGACCAAGGTCTTCTATAATAGCCGTGTCGGAGATTGTACTGTGTATTACTAGGAAGAAGTGCGTAAAAAACGGGTGGGGTCACTAATTATTTCGAGTGGTAAGAAAACTGTGTTTAAAATATGAAAGCCGCTTACACTCTAAGAAACGCCCGTACGTCTACTTTCCCGCAGAACACTCGGAGATCCAATCACCGCAACTTGCGGAGGCAGCTCAGCGAATGACGATGCCGAAACATATTTTTACACAACGCAGTCTGAGTTGTGACATTAATCTATACAAAACATCAGGCTTGCATTGCTTAATGTCACAACTGAGACTGCTTTTTTGTCTAAACATATGTATCGGTATCATCATTCGCTGAGCTGCCTCCGTAAGGTGCGCTTAATGAATCTCCAAGTGTTGTGCGGGAAAGTAAACTCACGGAATTTTTTAGAGTGTACAACTCTCTGTAAGACCGAATTAGAGCGCAGCTCTCGAGGAGGAAGAGGGAAGGGTACTGAGGGAAGCGTATAGTCCTTCATCCTCCTCATCTCCTCACCCTGCCTGATACTTCTCAAGGTTACACCGGTGGCGCCGGCGACGCCGACGCCATCGGCGTAACTGTGAGGTCACGTGACCCTCACGACTTCACGGGGGTCAGGTTATCTCACAAGGGTGACGTGACGTCGCCGGGGCCACGCGAACTCACTGGAGTCACGTGACTTCATGGGGATCACGTGACTTCGCGGGGTCACCTAACCTCATGGGGGTCACGTCACCTCACAAAGGTCACGTGACGTCCCCGGGGTCACGTGACCTCACGGGGGTCACGTGACCTTACGGCTACGCCGATGGCGACGCCGACGCCGCTCAAGCCTGAAACGGGAGCCTAAGATTTTTTTTGAGCCTAAGAGCTTAAAAAAAACGGTGCTTTGTGGTCAGTATGTTGAAGGTTTTTTGTACTACGTATAGCTTTTGATTTCGCAAACGAAACAACCTATAAATATTATTTTGTTGTTATTCAACCGCAAACTATTAAATAGTAATGGAGATGAAAGTAACTAAAGTATAGTACAACTGACGTTTTAACCAGCATGGAACCAGCAATCTAATTTTGTATAAAATACCAATAAATGTCAAGATGCTCGCATGCTTTTTATTAATACGAGCTGTGTCCAGCATAAATTTCTTCTGACAATTTATAAACGCTTACACGCTCGATCACACAGTCATAAATAGTTTTTAATAATTCTCAATCGTCAGGTTTACCTCGTGGCTTAAAAATATCATATTTTGTTTTCGTAACATTTAACTGAAGTTGATTAGAATCAAGCCAGTCCGATAACTCGTTGAGCCACGTGTTAGCAATAACTTCTAGATGACGTAAAAATGAACCAGAAAAAGATAAGCTTGTATCGTCGGAGTACAAAACTATTTTAGGAGTTCTTAGGATAGATACAATATTATTAACATAAATATTAGAAAAAAACAGAGGACCTAAAGTAAGCCCCTATGGAACCCCATGCGAAATTTGTTCTGGCTTGGGCCGGTAACCATTAAAACACGTATATTGTGGCCGTCAAGATAAGTAACTACGTACCAAATCTAAAGCAACACCTTGAATTCTAAAGAAACGGTAGTTTATAAAACAATATATCATGTTTAATGAGATCAAACGCTTTTCTGTCGTCTAAAAATATTCCAGTGCTAAATAGTTTTTTTTTTAAATGTTGATTGATTTTTCTTTGATACTAAGTAGCGCCATTTCTGTTGACTTTTTTTTTCTTGAAAACCGTATTGCTGCATTACAAGGACATCTCTTTCATTCAACAATTTGCATAAGCGTTTTTTTATCAGATGTTCTGATACATTTAAAAATAAGGGAAGTACGGATATGGGCCAATAGTTATTAATGTTGCCAAAAGAACCTAGGCTTTGTGCCATGCCATGGGGAAAAGTATTAAGGCTCGTTCACACTCTTGCAGCCGAGCACGACCAAGACAGACAAGACCGGTTTTTAATCCTCCTGCGACTTCTTAGGAGCAGCTCCACTGCGGCGGGGCTGGTCCAAAGACACTGCAAAAGGCTAAAAAACCGGTCTGGCATCTCTCGGCCGTGCTCGGTCGCATATATGTGAACGGCGCTCTAGTTGCTAATGGAATGTTACATATATGCTGTAGAGGAGAACACAAAAGATGCGCGACAGCTATGATTGGTATGGCCTTGATATCATCTGCTGTAATGAGTAACGCATTTCGTTACTTTTTTCCGGTAACGCCTACAATACTGCTGCAGCGCCCACGCTGCATCTCAGAAAAATGAAGAATGGAATTCCGGGTCCCGATTTTTGCTCGACCTCTGCTATTTCCCCTCTGAATTTCCGGGGAAATTACGTCACATGACTTTATGTCACGTGACCTATAGAACAATGTTGTTTCTCCGCTAAATATGGCGGAAAAAGTGATGTCATGTGAGTTGGTCACGTGACCAAAACGAAATTTTAATTTGCCTGCTAGATTTAGCAGGAATATCAACGCCACGTGACCTCAGCACCAATTCAGTTTCTCCGCCAAATTTAGAAGAAGAAATGACATCCCGTAACTTTGTGACACGTGACCAACGCACGAATTCAGGAAAGAAGTTGTCTAAGAAAAAACGGTAAATCACTTGCGGACGTTTTTATCTATTTTACTGCCATGCCCCTTGTCATTTTATGCAAATTGCTAAACCTGGGTAGTTTCTATAGTAACTAATATTATTTACATTATTTACCTAATATATAAATCACAATACTGAACATATTTTTTTCATCCGTTACAATGGTGGATACCTGCTCTGCAGCACTATTATATCAAAGACACAACATTGCATCAAGATAAGCAATACAATATTCTTGCAACCCAGAAAGCATGAGCGTTAACAGCATGGTGGATAATAAAAGTCTGGACGACTTAAATCGTGATTTGTGTCATAATTTCAAAAGTGCTTTAAATCATACCTGCTTCACTACAATATTTTGAATAAAAACATTTCCACAAAAATAATACTAAAATTGTTTTTTTTTAAGTTACTACTTTCTATCATGCATTGTATATTACTTGTTTTCTTTTTTAATCAAGGAATCGCTAATCAAAACAAAAAATCTCATAACGCACTGAAATCAAAAATAAAGTTGTGCCTGACCAAATCGAACCACACAATATTAAGCTGTTTATTTTTTCTACTAGAAAGTCAAAGTTTACTAAAAAACAGTCCCTTAATCTGCAAATTTACAGTAATACATCTAGTTATCAAATGCACTCTTTTATAGCTCTACTAATGTAAAATACATTAATCTGGTATAACGCAAAAAATCTCGTTTAAATCATAGGCATCCAATAATTTGTAGTTAAACAAAAAGTTATTGTTTTTCGCTCCCTGGAATCCCCTAGGCAAAGCGCAATCTGATCAAACGGTTTCAAATAAAAAAAGTCGAACTAAACGACAAAAAGTTTGTTTTCTTCTAAAAATGTTCAGTGCACAATTGTGTTGCACTCTTGTCGGCAATAGCAAGACTTTCAAATTTAAAGATACCAATGTGTGGAGGTTGGACAATGAATACGCACTGGAAACCGGAATATTCCAACAAGCTGGAGGTTTATTCGGGGCTTGCGAACCGTCTTGAAGATTGCATTCACCTTCGTGGAAGAAATAAGGCATTCGAACGGGTGTCAGTAATCGGAGCACGAAAGCCTCAATAAGCACTTTTTGTTTGGTCAATGAAAACTGACATTACTATATTATTTCTGAACAAGAACAAATGTAAACCATACGCACGATGTTCATCAGCCTTATGATGTATCGAGCCTGTAATAATTTGCTTTCCTTGAGGGCCTTGTGTATTACACTGTCAATCATGACGTACATTTCAGGTCGCCACACGGTGGGTGGCTCTGCAGCGTCATCTAGAAGGTTTCAAATCATGGCACGCCCTCAGTGCTTCGCAAGTTTAGAATGAACTATGTAATCATTTTGTTTTTTAATATGCACGCTGCCAGATAAGTTTATCTTGTTTTCTGTGCAAGATAGTGAAACAGTCTCTCCAAATAAATGTTTTCAAATTCATTATATCATCAAAGTGCGGTCTCGAATTGTAGTTACTCGCGCAGCACGTGCTGACGTCTACCGAATTATTTAAAAGCAAAATCGTCATGCAGAAAAATTAGGGTTTCCACTGTGTACAGAAAATTGCATCATGGTGATAAAATGGCCAGTATGTATGCCGCGCATGTAACTAGAATTGCAGCCTGCTTCTTGGTTATTGTAGAATTGGTTGAGAGGACTGCTGAAAAAAAGTTAAATTTTTTAAAAACAATATAAGCTTACTTTTTGGCAGTAGACTTCCATCGGAACGTTCTTCAACGGGAACTGTAAACATTATAGTGATACTGAATGTGAAATGTAATCAAATTCAAAGGTTATATCTTTTTAAAGGCATTCTTCTTCAGCAAAATTATAGAGGAACGCTTCGTGTTTTGCTGTCAATTAGTTTTTGTTTGTATTTTTCTTTTTTGCTGTCCCGTTTTTGCGGTTTTTAGTCGTTAAGATATCTTCAAGATAATTTTCTCAAATTGTTAAAATATCCGATATCAGTGCATATGTGTTTATCGAAATACCATCACCTCAAAACTGAACCATGCCGAAATAAAGTAGATAACTCTTTTTGCTTGAAAGAAAAGACGACGAAGTGATATTTTTGCATGTGTTACCTAAAAAGCAACCATAATTAAATAAAAATATGAGACGTTATAATTGTCAGTATATTCCGCTCAGGCTGGAAACGGGCCCCTAAGAGCTGCTCTCTAAAAATACTGAGGGGCCGTCGCCTTTTCAAGAACTTCTCCTTTTCTCTTTCCGATGATAATCAATTAATGCGCTCATTTCGCCACGCTTTAAACATAGTGTGTTGATAGAGAGAAAACGGGAGGTGAATTAATTCATCGAGAGAATAAATGGCAAATAAGTGAGAGCATACCAGTATTGACACTGCACGTGAAGCGAACGCTGAAGGAAGGAATTCGGTCGTACGTTTAAAATTTCTAATCATTTTTGCTTCAGGAAATATAGCCTTTAATGATTGAATTTTCAACAAATATCTAGTGTATAGTGTTTTATTCTGTCACTTACTTCCCAAGTGGATCGCCTTTTCAGGCGTCGGTAGCGGATATATTCTGTGAGGGACTCGGCCGGATTTTTCATGTATTCTCAATGGCTCAATTCCATGTGTAAAGTTTAGGTATCCTTCCTGTTAAAAAAGTGAAAGATTTCTGAATATTGCAAGCATAGCCCGTTGCAGACCGTTTGTGAATCGCTAAACAAACTTTTTATCCTTATTAAAAATTCAATTGAATCGGAAGCAATTTATGGAGAAAGTATTCTAAATATATATTTTAAAGTTCTCATAAATAATGTTCTTTAGACGCTGTGGCGATGTGAACTTCCAATATGCTTAATACCCCTTCATTTTTATGAAACTTAAAAAAACACTCCAGGTTTATAAAATGTTCGCGAAAATCTATGCAGTTAGCAAATACAGGATTTATAAATAACGATTGCATAACCTCCTCTACATTTGTATAATCGTATTTATTGTTTCTATAAGAATATATACTTAAAAAATGTGTATATACCATTTCAATTCCCACGTCTGTTTCAGTAATTGTAAAGGATGCCTTGTGTTCCGAATTTTCATAAACACTATTACGTATGTCTGTAGTATCCATCTGAAAGAACATATTATGAGTAAAATAACTGCGAAGGAATATTCATGTTAGTAGCAGCTGAAATGCTAAACAGTTATAACTTATAGCCAAGCTATCTATTGCTAGGGTTTCGTGGATTCTTTGTGTACGTCAACAAAACTCAGGCCCTCAATTTGGGGCACACTCACTTCATTTTATGCAAAAGCTTATGTCTCATCACTTGGATATGCATTTTCAGTAGATTAGTTATCAATAGCCTCCATTTTCAAGATCAGTAGACTCCCACGTAGATAATAAAGGTTTTTTAAATATTTGGGGCTGTGCTACTCGTGTCTGCTATGTGTACTCTCGCACCGTTATCTCCTTGTAGACGCTCCAAGCGCTTGCGAGCTCCTGCTCGTCACGACGACCACGTATCAAGACCATAAATCTGGTCGTACCTTTGTTCAAAATTCTTTGACACGCCTGTGTCGTGTGCTAAACAGCTTCGCTGGTCATCCACCTTCTCAGAGTGGAATTGCTCATGCTTTTTTTGCAAGCTTTGGCATTTTACAAAAACACAGTAAATGATAACATTTAACGAATTTCAACGAGACGGAGAACAAATATCGGTGTGAATGGTTGTGTGAATTATCGAGGAAGTTAAAGTTTCTCAAACAATGCAAAAAAGAAATCGTGGGAGTCGGTACGTCATTTAAACAAATGTGTGTTTTTTACGTTATAATTAGCGGAGACAATTATAACATGAACGGCATCTCGAAATGCACGAAAACTTCCAAAGGCACTAGCGGGCACATCAAAAAGCTTCTGAGCGAAAAAACAGCTGGAATGTTTATTTTCTAAGTAAATTAAGTGAATTTCGAACAATGAGGCAGAAGCATGCTTTCTTGTGAAAGGTAATCTTTTCTTACCAATTCGTGATTCACCTCTCCATGCTTAGCCTCGGAAAAATACAGACTGTCCCCTAAAACACTGGATTCTTCCAAGTCTATGACGTAGTCTTTAGAAAGTTGAACAGCGCCTCTTGAGTTGCCGCTTCTGCTTTCAATCAAAACCGGATACACGACACCTGGAACGTAACCGCTCCTTTTATCCGACCGTTCCATACTCGCAACAAACTTCTCGGTACAGAGGAAGAAATTAAACGGTGGTCACAGGTCACGGTGTTTTTGCTACAAAAAAATCGTACGTAGATCTCCCAGCAACGTTGCCTTTCACAAACAAAAGACAATTAACTCAACAAAAATAAGAAAACCCTTCTGCAATGACAAGACGTTGGGAACGTTACGTATTGCAATAAAAGCACACCACGTAAAGCAAGCCTGCACTCATGTGAATAGTTCAAACGGAAGAGATTTAGAAAATACGGGGAAGGGGAGGGGGGCATCTTCCAATCGTGTTTCGTTAACACTATTTATCCTTTCATATGCATTTCTTAATATGCAGCCCATCAGAAGATATGCTACTTCCCTAGACCTCAAAATGCTATTAGAGTGCCATACCACATAAAAGGAAGGGACTGAAGAATCTAGATTACCTTGTTGTCAAATTTTTGTTAATGATGGTTATAACCTTAATCTTTTGTACCACGCCTACGTTCCTGTTCTTGCGAAAACCTTTTGGCAATCTATCAAACCTTTCGCTCTTCAGCGCTCTAATTGTACGGCTCCATGATGAATGGAACATCGTTTTGGGACGGTCACATTCATTTGGTAACTTCGATTGTACAGGTATTCTGAACAAACAGACTCTAAGAAAGGCGCGAAGGGTAATTTTCTCAAAGGCGCAACAACGCGAAAGAATTTCTGGCAGATTGGAACTCGGGAAAACAAAAACATTACGTGATTGTGCATTCCGTGCACGTACAATGCAATTGGCGTTCCAAATTAAAAAGCCACAATTGCATCGTCTCTTTATTTGTAGGTGTAATAGGAGGAACCAAGTGCATGGTATTTACAAAGACCTGACGTTTGCCAGACGTTGATACGCGAACAACTGCTTCCAGTGTGATGACCCCGGTGTCGCTTTCTACCAATTTATGACGCCCTTTGGCTGGCTGAACTGTGGGGTACGATGCCTTTAGAACTCGTTTGTGACTGGTGCGTTCAGGATCCTATCGCACCCATGCCTTAAAAGTAATCCCGAATTTTTCACAAACGACCTCACAGGAGCCAAAGTGTCACACTCACGAATGTCGCAACCCTTGCGCTTGGTGCCAGAATTCCCGGGCAAAATTAAAATGGAATGCTCGTACATTTGGCTCGTACAACCACCGCTGCGACGCCCCCAGGATTCTGACCAACGGCATAGAACTTATATGACGTCAGAGTGGTTGAGAGTACAAGAATTTCGTTCGCAACTTCTATGTCACAGATATTAAAAAACATAGAATCACTAGGTTTGCGTTAACCCAGACGCAATTTCATTTCGCTTGTGTTTTTAAAGACCTTTGGATATAGTACCGGGTGTATCAGGTAGCGGCCAAACGCTTTAAATCGACCGAAAATTTCGTTTTTTTAAACTATCGCTCTACGATGTTCTGCAGCTTTGCACACAGGTGGTGCATTTGTTCTGTAAAATTTGGAAAGAGCGAGCTTACCTGAGAAAAATGTAAAAAAAAAAGGCTTAACTCCTATGGAAACGCAGCGAAGTCACCAGTCTTCAAACAGTAGGGCACCCTATTGACTGAAGACCGATGGCTTCGCTGTGTTTCCACAGGAATTAAGACTATTGCTTTCTTTACTTTTTTCCTCAGGTAAGTTCGCTCTTTGCAAATTTTATAGAAAAATATGCGCCGCCTGTGGGCAACGCCGCACAAAATCGTAGAGTGATGGCTTAAGAAACCGAAATTTGCGGTAGATTTAAATAGCCTGGCCGCTATTTTTGATACCCGATAGAATACCAACGTATTAAAATGTCCGAATCAACGCGTCATGTTATCGGGAGATATAGCGGCATATATTTATAGGACGCCGCTTCTACAATCATTGACAACCTAAGTGAAGGACGTGCTGACTGACGAGCATCTCATTATTTCTTCTCATCCAGTAGGATTGCGGTATTAGAGGATAAGAACACGAAAAAAGCAATTACGAAGCAAGAACCAAGAGTATAAGATCAAGCCACACCCTGCGCGCCTTATTTGTCAGCGACTATGAAGGAATCTGTGAATACAATCAATGCAGCGTGTCTACCCCAGCTTATTTAAATATTTAAACTAAGCCTTTGGGGGCATGGTGCATGCCGTAATACAAATTATTTCTCGTCTGCAATATTGTGTGCGGAATTTCCATGATATTTGTTTATCGTGCCCAAAAGCTCGGAAGTTGAAGCTAGGGAGAAATGTAAAATTCGATTTTGCGTCACTAAGAAAAACGCGATGCGGAAGCGCCTGAGTAAATAGAATGAATACATCACCGGCATGAGCAGTAGCTACGCTGAAAAAGATGAGTGTAGCCGAATACATTTTCCGTCATAAAAACGTCCTTAAGGGAAAAATTTATATTTGGAAATGAAAGAATGCCTTTGTCAGGAACCTCTTTAAAGGGTGAAAAGGTTAAGCGCCCTTTAACATGATACACAAAATGCGAGATAATGAACACAATAGGCAAAATGACGTACACAGGAAGTTGCATTCAATATGTTAAAGGCAGCTTTTGCACAAGACGAGAATTAACTCCGGCAATGGACCTTTTTCAAACGTCAGAGCCATCTCGTGGCAGTCTCAATAGCTCAAATTTCTCCTCACTGATGACGGTAATAGAAGATCAAGATTGTCTACCTTGAAACACTCCCGATTTTGTGAATCAAAGGCGACTTTCAAGGGCCAACTTGTTAGAAAGGATTCTCCGCTTCTCTGTGGTATGCTTTCAAAGGCGTTCAATTTTCCAAGAGTGCAGAAGCTTCGTAGCGCCGCAATTAAAGCGTCGAGTTTGGCTCTGCACGTGGCAGGGAGACTAACATTTGAAAATGGTCTATCGAAGCGCGTCAAAAAAGATACGCCTGCGGTTTGGTTATCGTGGTTGAGACTAATTATGGCTTGCACTTACGACACATCAGCGGCCATTCTGGTGGCCATTGCTGGCTGAGCACGTGGGTTCTGCATCAATGCATGAAAATAAGTATGTAATATGACGTCACATGCCGGCCACACACAAACGCCGCGGCTAACGAGACATGTTATTGTCACGAAACCGGCCCGTCGAAGACGCGGAAGAATACACCAGCGGTTTTCGACAAATGGCTTCCTCTGATATATCGTCGCTTCGATATCAAAAAGTGCGATTCCATACACTGAATAACAGTCATAGCACGTAAAACCGGGATTAAACAATCGTGTACTTTCTGAGCGGCATCTGACTTGCTACTAGAGAAGGCCTGAACAGCTCTCAAGGGCTAGCTTTACTCAAGTGATTTCTATTGACATATTCACGACCGAGTTGGCATCGCGCTCGTCACCCACGGGAATGCACGGGGCTAGGGCCCCACCAGCCAAAGTTCTCATTTTATCTTTCTCGTCTCTGCTATAACGTTCTCAACTTGTAACGTATCCCTCGTTCATGTTCGAAATGTTCTAGACCACAGAGTATGTACGAAAGAAGCTGAATCCGGCAAGATTCGGACATTGGTTCCTTGTCACCGTCACGGGATGCGCGCTGTTCTTTTTGCTTCAGTTAGGGATGCGAGTTCACCTTATTGTACATTTATTTTCAGTTTTTAAATCAACCTACTTTTTTATTCATGATAATAGAGTAGTGCCCAGGGAAGACACCCGAAACTGTAGGGAGACCGGGAGGTATCCAGGGCTGCCCGTTAGATGACGCCACTGTGTTCACACTTTGTAAGCGGTCGCAGGCGTGTCAAAACGACCATTCCGCCGGTCGTTTTGGATCAGACGACAGGCTACGGGGAGTGACCAACTGTCGTCCCGGCATTCCCCATCGCGCTCGGCTATTGTAATTTCCGGAAAGCCCCATCACCCGTCGGTCGATCGCCGTTCCCCTCATGCTCGGCGACGCAGGAAGTTACGTCTCCCAGAGATCGGCTTCCACTCGGCTCCGGGAAGATCAGCCGATCGAGATCTGGGCGTTCCGAACCCTAAACCAGAGTTTGCGCTGCTCCAAAAGGACTTGCGAAAGACATTCGGATTAATCTCAAACGACCAGTGGCGATCGCGCCCTCCAAAAAAGTGCATCCCGGAACGCGACAAACTACGAGTGGAATTCGTCATTAATCAAACGCGAATCTCTTAAAAACACCTTGAAGGGACCATGAAGACCACTTTGAAGTTCAGTTTAACGATTCGTATGAACGCCAAGCGCTTGCGCGTCGCACAAATTAATTGAATAGAACCAGCAACAGTCACACCGGGACCGATGCGAGCGACGCCGAGACTGCGGGAAAATCCAGCTTATGAATGACGTGGACCGTGACATCAATTGAGGCACGTCGGGCGATTGGTCGAAATGAACGGAGTCCGCTTGCCCTTGTTTTTGATCGTAAGTTGTTATAAAAGATTTCGTATTTTTTCTTATTTAGTAACAACGAAACTTTTATATTCTTGACAGAACAAATTACTACAATAAATTAAAATATTATTTCAGTCTGCGGGCACGCGGAGTGAAAAGACTGAATAACGGAGAGCCTTTAAAAAGAAGCAGAAACAATTCTTAAAAAAAAAAAAAAACGATTTAGAGGAGAATTTTAGAGTATTTTTATCCCGTTAACTTGAATACCACGTTCATTTTCCACGGCGATTCATACTAAACATGAGAAAACCCGAAAATCCTCCGACCAGTAGTGACGTCATACTAGAATCTTTGGGCCGCCAAGCGCGTGTCGCTTGTTTGGGCAGCGCGTGGAATCGTAAGCTTGCCAGGTGTATTTTTCCGCACTGACGTCAGTCGTGACGTCTATCTCTGACCTTTTCGAACACAGCAAGAGTGCACGCGCACAGCTTTGACAGGTGCTGAAGATGCGCTAAGCAGGGATTCCGAAAACTCCTAGTATCGCGCCACGCCTCGTGCACTTTGATATTAACTTTAAAAAAATAATTTCTGCAGCCTCCGTGCGCCATACTGAAAAAATATTTTTCTATACTTGTGATCTTGGAGGCCAAATGAAGATGATTGTGGTGTTTTTTCCTAAGGCAAGCCGCTACCCAAAAACAAAAATAAAATTCTGCAAGAAAAGTTGATCTTGAAAAATGATATATTTGCATCCACTAGCATCTAGAGGTTTACCGCATAAAGTTTAATTAGTTTACACTGCATAGTTAACTTTTTATACATCATTTTTGTCCAGCGAAGCTAAAGAAAAGGTAGGGTTTGCAGCAATTTGAACACACTTTTCTCCGTTCCGCTTTTTGCTAGAAATTCTATTTTAGTCAATCTATCGTTTGATAACGGCAATAAAGGGACGGCTCGTTCTTCACTTTTCCTGACTCAAATTTAATAGGGAATGCGGCTATGAAATTGTTTCGTCACTTTACGGATATTTTTATAAAAAAAATCAAAGCCACAGAAGACCAAAAACTTGACCTATTTTGCAGAAGAAAACATTTACAGAAATAAATTACATTTTACAAGAAACTTTCCATAGCCGCGCCCCCTAGGCATTCCGCTACATATCTAGGAGACAAAAAATTAGAATATTGGGATAGTTTTCCGACGATAGATTAACTACACAATGTAATCGTGTTACTGATAGAAGCTGCTCTAATTTCCTTCCCGTTTGACCGACAGACCTGAACTTTTGTTAAGCATCCTCTAGCATGACTATCAGCCTGCCCTGTAAATTTCATTAAATTTACGCCAAGGGTTCGAAAGTTGACCCCCTGGGGGGTGTGTCCCCTTAAATAAAAAAACCACTTCAGTCTCTCTCTAGCTTGAAAAGCATTTAGTGTAATACTTATAAAAAAATGTTTTTTTTTAGAAAAACAAAATTGGCGAATCACTGTGTTCCGTTCGGCTTGTGACGCGGCTCTTAGTTCCACGCTCGAATGGAGTTGCAGAAACTGTTCCGGGCTGACGCACTGCAGTTTCCAATACTCGTCAGGGTCCCTTTTAAAAAGCATCTGTCATACCTCGTTTAGCACGCCGCAATCTTTCCGGAACATCCATCCAGCTTTTCATCCAAACCGACCTTTTTGCGCGTGGGGTGTACGTAAAAATCAGTACATGTCCCTGCGGGAGCCCAAGACTCCGTCGCTTTCACGCCGAGCCTCCTCGATCAGGACCATACTTTCGTCATGTTTTGGGTTAATAAATCTAATTGAAGTTCCCGTTGAGCCTTTGACGAGTTTTATCTCACATGGTATGCGCAACAGCGACACGCAACTGTTATAGTTCTCAGTAACATGATAGCGCCGTTCGCAACGCGAATGGCAATAAATCATGTCAACAAAAATTAAGGTCCATACCAGGGTTGGGCAGAAATACTCAAAAATGTATTTGGGAGTACAAATACTAGGAGACATAAAAATAGGATCAAAAATACTGATACTCAAATATATCTGGAAAAATCTATCGCGATATGTATCGGAGATAAATATTAAAAATAAGCCTAAAATCTTTGGAAATACAAATATAGAAATATATTTTACTGAGGGCGGAAATAAAAATACTTAAATACTGATACTGCAATACATTTTACAAATTTGTTTGAGACGCCAACTGTGATTAAGCTTGAAGTGGAAGTTTTTGATGACGAAATTACCTTCTCGCAGGCTTGGCACTTCACCTTAAAGTGGCAAGCGACGTCGCCTCGCTGTACGGTTCCAAGCGGCAAGGAGTCTTCAATGGGCTCAAAAACGTTCAGTCAAGGAGTTACCGAGGTCCCTTCTCTGGAATTCTGCGTGTCTGAAAAGGTTAAAACAGCGCAAAAAAACGACGGACAGCGTAAAGGACACGGACAGAGAGCTCTGTCCGTGTCCTTCTTTACACTATCCGTCGTTTTTTGCGCTGTTTTAACTTTTTAAGTATGTCATACCCACTCGCCCAGGCTTCAACTTTATCTGTGTGTCTTATGAGCGATGCGAAAAGACTTCGACCTGTAAATCAATTTCATGTCACCCTAAATTCCATCGAAACGTCATCATGCTCCCACTCAATAAGGGCGCCCCTCTCAACAGTGATCACATGACGTCACGGTGGAATGATCTGGTATTCGTGTATCTGTAGGTGTGGCCTTGAACGTAAAACTTCACCCAGGCTGCTGTATGAAAGAACGATATGTAATTTTGTTGTAGGTGACTTCGTTGAAGATCGTGCAGGCAGTTAGTTGCCATTGAAATTTTTGAGAGCAGTGGACCACCTTTATCATCCTGGAACACGTCTTCTGTTAGGTTGAAAAAAACGACACGGTGGCATCGTTGTTGTGACGGTCCTTCCTGCAGACCCGCCAACGCTATGACGCATGGATGGCAGTCCTCGAGTTTTTCCTAGCCGCATTCCAACAGAGACCTTCGTGGATTGCGACCTGAGA